GGATCATCATGAAATCTAAGGCCTTAATTTAAAAATATAAGCCCTCACAACCCTAACAAAACCCACTTATACTCTTTTATTATAAACCCTAACCCTAAATACTAGTCCGAAATCAAAAAAAAAGCCTAAAAAAATATACCCCAAAAAATTTAAAAAATTGGAATTTCACGATGATCCAGATTTCACGATCATCCGTGACATATAATATAATTAAGAATATCATATAATTTAAAGGGTTAAACTGCTGTATAGATGGTCAAATATAATCAGACTATTTAAATCATACATGCAACTTCATATACCTTAACATATGAGAAGGAAATAAACCGACAATTAGAAAAGGCAAGTCCAAGTGGCGAAACAAGTGCAGATATTACCGAACAAAAAGGGGCAGAAACTAGCCCAAGCCAAGGAGAAAATTTACCCACGGATGCGTCATCACCCCAAGGAATTAAAAAAAAATAGATACTACTAGTTCTGCCAAAATATTAATCTCAGAAATTCCTTCATATATACCTCTATCAACAGAAACACCAACCAGTCCTCTAGAACTCCTTATTCTATACTAAAAATTAAACACACCACATGCAAAGTTGCACGATATAACCTTGCGTGAGTTGTGTGAATAAATGCTAAGATCATTTCGTGCAAGGTATATCTCTAATCACAATACTGTAAAGTTCAGAATATTGAGATTGTGTACCTTTTATTGCCTTTTTTTTTCATAGTATAAATGATTTTAATTCGAAGCTTGAAATAGTAGTCTTCCATTTGAAATTTTCTAAAGGATTTCTTCAAAGCTATGGAAGTCCTAAATCTATAAAAATTGAAAAAACTCAATATATACCAGTATTCTTATGAGCAATTGAGTTTGATATTATAGATGCTTCATTTATCTACTTTGATAGCCCAAAATCTGTGATTTTTTGTTTTTCCAAATACAAATAATTAAAATATTGGTTAAATTGATATATGATGGTATATAAATTATATAGTATACAAAAAATCACATGTCAAATTATCAAATTATATATCAGATAAAGTCTTAATATACGAAAAGGG